TGAGAAGTTTACTGAGATAGAAGGGGCTAATACCTCCACAGATTTTTTTTTTATTTTTAATGTGTCCCAGATTGCTCATCCAGCTTGTCAGTGATCTAACTTCTGTTATAACCTCCACCACAGGAGGCTGTTGCTCTGTTTCTTTCTGAATTCCTCCTCCAGAGATGCTGCTTCCCCATGTGGGATATGCAGCACCTCATGGTGGATCCAGGAGCTCTTCTGCAGGATGTGCCCAACCCTCACAGAGCCATTCCCAGAGGACCCTGGGAGCCTTTCCTTTGGAAATGGATGTGACAGTGCATCATCTTCTCCTTCCCCATTTCCAGCTGCTTCAACCAAAAGAAGCAAGGCTCAAAGTCTTTCCAGATCTACCCTGCAAGACAGTTTCTTCTTGCAACTACCCCTTTCTGCTTCTTGCTTTTGGTCTTTATTTTTCCTTGTTATTATTTGTCTGGTTTATAACTTCCTTTCCTTCTAACAGTCTGATTTTTGTGGCTGTTTCTGTGTTGGTTCGCTGCTGCAGTAGATATCAACAACATGATTAAATTCCAGCTCTGACTGTTGCAACATGAGCGCTCTGCCTTCATTATCCGCGGTGCCTAAAACTATTTGATCTCTAATAAGTTTGCCTGCAAGTGTGCCTCATTTGCATGATGAGGCTAACTGGTGCAGCCTGGTTGCATATTGGTCCGTGATTTCAGATTCTCTTCGATCAGATGTATCAAGCAGAAGGAACTATTAGAATTGCCAGCAACTGTATGTTTTTTTTTAATCTTGCCAGAATGCTGAGAGTCCCAGACAGCCTTAGGCAGGAGGAAACCACTGATAAAAGGCCCTGGAGAGCCCCTCGTGTCTGGTGGCGTGTAAACCAGAGCGGTGCTGGGGCTGGCTGATCTGCTTTGGGGGAACAAGTTGTTAAAATCATTCATTTCGTGAGTACCATTTCCCAACACCACTGACCCCAACCCAGGTGGGAGCTGTCCCCSCAGCTAGGACCTGTCTTTCCAGCTGAGAGCTGGAGATCTCCCCTCACCCAYTGGAGGGTCTCTGTCTCTCCCCCAGCCCGTGTCTCTCCTTCCTGGTCCTGCACGTTGGCATGTGCCAACATTGGCAGTGCCGTCTTGTCATGTGCTTTACTGTCCATGGCTTGCTGGGAAAGAAAATGGGGTTTATTATAGCAAGCCTTTGGGAATATGAACTCTTCTTTGGGTCTGAAATGGAAACAGCAAATTTCAAAACTAAATGTAGTAGAAAACTATGGCTGAAATAATTGTGAAATTTGTGCTGATAGTGCTGGAAATGTTTCAGTTTGCCTATTTCCTTTCTGAGTGATGCTCAGAATAGGCCTGTGGGTCCTAAATGTTCTTCTGTATTCAGTAAGATCCTACAAGATGTGATTTATCCCTTTGCAGTATCTTCTCTGCTTTCAGAATTCACTTTCTTAAATTGTAATGTGTGCCAAATACCTGCCTTTTTATTTGAAACCATTTTTTAATTAAGCTGAATCATTATCTAACACATCAAAATGCCTCTTGATGATTTGAATAGGTCCTAGTTTGAGTTTTTATTTCACACACACAGAAAAAACATGCTGATTTCTTTGGTTCTTAGGCTGGCGGCAGAAGCCAAGGAACTAAACCAGACTGAATCAAACAAAAGAATTCTCAGCATCTCACTGGCAGCATTTGCTTTGGTGTGAACTGTATTTTTTCCCTAGCATATACTTCCAAGAATTTTTAAAAATATCATTCATACATCACCTGCCCTGGCAGACAGCAGTTGTTCCAGAGAAGCTGTTGCTCTCTATTAGGTCAATGACCAGTGAACTAAACATTTTCTACTTAGGCCTTCATGTGATAAAAGCCTAAGAGCTTTGAAGGAGCCATTACTGGCTATTGCCTAGAAGAAATATCCATTTGAAAATTCTGCAATTATGTACTTCTATAATAGCGTGTAAAAGGAGCTCTGGACCCATTATGGGTTATTGAGTAAATAATGTATTTTTAAAAGTGTCTAAGTAATTTATATGATAGCCTGTATTGGCAGCAAAGAGTGACTGTAGACTAAACATTCTGTCTTTCTTTCTTTTTAAAAATCTCATTTAAATCCCTAAATAGCAATTAAAAAGAAATCCCTGATGCAGTTTCAGTATTTCTACAGTAGTCAATAGCTAATGGCTCTGTCTTTACTCCACTGAGGCTGCCATTTTGTGCTGAGCCAGTTTGCTCAGTTCCTCCTGGTCTGCCTTACTTTTCTGCCTTCCTTGGGAAAGGGAGGAAGTTTGCTTATTAAATATCATGTAGAAGTGTCCAGAGACCTCCTAGAGGTCTGACCCCGCAGTATGCACCACCAGAGCTGCTGATAACTAGGAACAGCCATTAGCCAGAAGAGACAAGAGCCCCCGGAAAGAAGACAGGAAGATGTCAATCCCTATTTTAGGGAAAAAGCTGGAAAAAAAATGGTGTGGATTGAGGAAACTATTTTTCAGGATTTTTTTTTCTGTTCAAAATTAAAWAAGTTGAAACAGCTGCTTTTTAAGAAACAGCTGAGTTTGAATCTGAGCTGCACTGAACCTTGGTGTTTACCTCCACATCCCAGCAGACCCACTAGGCCAAGCAGCTAGGAGCTGCCGCATGGCAACTGCCATACTCACATATTATGGATGCCTTAAAATAGCGTCATGGGCCTGACTTTAAAAGACAGGAGAAAAATAACTCTATGTTTATGATGGTGCCCTAGCCATTTTTGGTGGTACTTTCACTGGCGTAAATCAGAGACCAAGTCACTTCATTTGTTGTATTCTTGAACTTTAAGTTTGTATCTGTGCTGTACTAATCCCCTACATGAAATCTCCTAACAGTCCGGAGGAAGCAGACRTCTGTCAGGGGTTCAGAACCCCTTTTTTAAAGGCTGTGCAAAACCTAGCCCTTATGCACCCACATGCATGTTCAAGCAGATCATGTGCTTCCAGTAACTGTGCCGTTCAGTCACACCTCAAGAACATAACCCTTGGACCTGAATTTGAATATATTTGTATAATTTCTCATTGTATAGGAAAAGTGATTTCCATGCACCAAATGGAAATGTGGCATTTTGGCTACCCTCTGGGGAGATGACAAGAGGTGGTATCCATAGCAAGGCCACTGGCAAATGAGAGGCTGTGTTTTTCACACTTGGAGATTTTTCAAGACACTTTGGTTGGCATTGTTAGGAATAAATGAAGATGGGAAAGAATTACATCTCTTGGTAACATAAATGCCTTCCAGAAAACACTGCCTCTGGAGGTGGGTTTTCCCACAGTGCTGTGAAGTTTCACACAGGATTTAAAAAAAAGAAAAAAGAAAAGAAAGAAAAAAAAAAGGAATGGGTAGGTCTGGAGACAACATTTTCTTTAGTGATATTATACCTCCCTCCTCATTTGAGGAACCCTCTTCTGCCYCAAAGACTCAGTTTGAATTCAGTGTAAAAGTAAAGCTCTTATAAATTGAGATAAAGAATCCTAGGGCCATTCTTCTAAGAACAGTATTAATTGCTGTACGGTGTTTCAAACCTAAATAATTTCATTCTACCATTAAAAGAAAATTCCCTCTAATTTCATCTCAAAGCACTTTCCCCTAYTGTCCTGGTCTCTCTTGCATGGCAAGTGAAGAGGGGTCACAGGTATGAAGTGACGTGGGCTGCTTCCAGGCTGATGTTACCTCAGTTACCTCTGCAAGGTAAGTGGGTTTTTAAAGAAAAGCCTGGAAGTGTAGCTAGCATAGTGGGACAAAAAAAGTTTGATTCTCCCATCTCTGTCGGTGTTTTGGGCTTGCCAAGAGGAGGAACAGCAAGGGCCAGTGTGATGCCTGTGGTGTTTCTCCCCTTGAAGGGAGGTTTGGCTTGCTCTATTACTGCTTTAACAAGACATAGGCCTTTAAAGCTGCCACTCTTCCCCTCACGCAAATCTGCAGCACATCTTCCCTTGTTCCATTCTGGGCCGCCAAGAATGGCACTGGTTACTGCAGGAAACCGCTTTTCTTTCTGACCTTGCTTTAGAGACATTAGATTCATTATTTGAGGGCGTGTACGAGATCCTGGAAGCACAGTTTATGTCTACTATGTTGTGAGATCTTTGGTATGATGTTGACTCATTCATTGGCACCTGAGAGAGGTTTGGGGAATTCAGCAAACTTTCAGCAATCCGGTTTGAGAGATTAAACAGAATTATGGCCCACTCAGGTTTGTCCTAATTTTATTAGCTTTTCAGTATTTCTAATTGCATAAACATATGCAGCCAAGTATACAGATGGGGACTGGGAAGACGTACAAGGACAGTCAGGCTCCATAGTCAGCTAATTGGTGGACTAAGTAATAGGGCACTTGAGAAGATTGATTTTTTTTTTTTTTTCAGAACATTTCAGGGTAAGAATCTGTCCCCATTAAACCCGTGACAATTAAGAAAGATTTTAGCCTTAGTTTTTGTTGTAGCTGGGGAAAGAGATGAGAATAAGTATGTAATGAAGATAAAATCCAGGATGAAGGATGATGTTTTGGGCAAAATTAACTATGGATTAGTTTTAGCCAAGGGAAAAGTTATAATATCTCAAAAAGACAGAATGACTGGCCTGATCCATATGGTGACATCCAATGACRTTTGAGCAGGGTCACATGCAAGATGGTTAACAGTTTCAAATACAGCCCAGGCAAATGGGAAGTCATTTTGTGTGAAGGTTGTTACTGATAGCAAATGCCAGGCTTTAATGTTTTCAGAAATATTTTATATTTTCTTTCAGAAAATAAATGTTTTTGCTATGGCTAGGAAAACTCTTGGGCTACAAGACAAAGTATGCTGTGGTTATTTCTGGTCAAATGATACCAGCTGAGGTACTGGCATGACTGTTTGTTTCACTGCTTTCACATGGAATAATATACCTGCCCATATTTGTTAAGGAAATGCTTCTGTTGACTTGCTTTCTCCTATCAAGGCAGAAGGGACAGGATAAACGCGTGTACCCTCAGGAAACACATCGTAGGCACAACATTGAATTAGTCCCAGCTGTATTGGATACCTTTTTTTGAGATCTCTCCCCGTAATGGATCTGGAAGATATTTCCCTTACCTTTGTCTGGGCTGAATACTCGATAGGTGAGTAAAATATAGTTTTTCTTCCTCATGRAAAGTAAAATAAAACAAGCAAGTAGGTCACATATTTGAACCTGGACTTCTCAGCAAAGTTCTTCAAAGACCTTTCAGAAGACAGAATATTTAGTAAACAGTTTGTGAAATATTTTTCCAACAATAAAAGTGCAAGAGAGATTTAATAATATTGGGACTTGTTCTGTTAATGACTTCATTTTCCTCTCCTTCCTGTTCAGGCAGTAACCTACAAACTCTGACCACATCACCAGTGTGAAATTGCTGATTAACCTTTTGACTCTGACCATTGGGACGTCTCTCAACACTAACTGGTAATGCAGAAGACGATTAGTAGTTAATATTGGGATATCCCAGCTTCAGATGTCAAAAGGTCAGTGAAAAACTAAGCATCTTGCTTTTATTGAGCAACTTGGAAACCTCCCCCACTCACATTTCATTTTTCATGATAAATAGGCCAGACTCTTTGAGCTGAGAGAGAGGGGTGTTTTGCTAATGTGTACAGCTGTTAATTGAAAAAGATTTTTTTATGCTTGATCTTCTGGATTACTAAAAGAGATTTGTTGGCGAACTTTAGTTTGTCTTGAACACCCCTTTGTCCAAATACCCTAGCTAATAATAACACTTTGTTCTTTCTGCAACAGCCATGAAGGGATTTTGAGTGGAATACTCATTTTCTTTAAGTCATATCTGYCAGTAATCATTCTTGGCTTAAGATCAGCTGCCATGTATGTGTTTTATAAAAATATAACACCAGTTCTGTGCTCAAAACTATCCTCTTTTAGGCAAAGGCTTCAGCACAAGCTGGTTCTCCATATCTACCATAAAGGCTATTTATCACAGATCTTGGTCTTTAAAACAGAAAGATAATGTTAAAACATGTTGATTACCCTTTCCTTACCACTATCATTCACAAACCATCTTTTCTAATTATGGTATTAGGACATTTACATAACTGGGAAAAGGGTCCTTTAACTACGTTTCTATTATGTTTGGCACTTGTGTGAAAGGATATTATATTCATGTGCATTAGAGATTGCTTATAAAAGATCAAGACAATAATAGCAGATCAGACGATAAAGGTTCCCTTTTCTCCTCCCAGACAGGCTGTCTCTGACAGAAGAATACAGTTCATCAAAAGTGTCTGCAGGTTGTCAAACTCGGTGAGATTTGGGGACACTCGGAGGCTGTCATGGCCAACAAGAAGATTTTCTGTAGGGTTCTGCCATCATTCACCCTCAGGAAATAATCACTCACTACATACTGCATGCTCTCATGATAGAGCTCTATTTGAGAGAAAAGAGCCATTTTATCAAAGGACAATATATCCCTTCTCCTGGTCCATGCAGCTTCCATTATCAGACCATAATAAATCATATTTATGTTCTCAGTTAATAAGACTGATTACAATGCAGGTTACAGGCATGGGAAAAGCAAAGCAGGTGAAAAGATGTTTTAATGAAAATATGATAAGCAAACAGCTTCTTGTGAACATTTCAGGCTGTTATTTGTAATGATCACAGGCAATTTTTGATACATCTTCTTTAGCAATGGTTTAAGCTGCATAAATTGGCTTGCCACTTTATACGTTGAAATAGGAAGAATCCCAGTGTCCTTCTTATGTTGTCTAGAATCATTATATACATTATAAGCATAAAATGAGTTTAATGTATGTGCTTTGAAAAGAAGGGGAAAACAGAAAATCAGTGAAGACTGATTTTAATGCTGCTCAAAATGATTTTGAAATTTTCTACTCATCTTTGTTACTAACGGTGCATTTTCCATGAAATTTAGGAATGACATGTACTGCTTTCATCTCCTTAAAATTAATATACTGTTCTTTCTGTTTTTCTCAATTTCTTCAAAGTTCCTTTTAGAACACTGTACAAAAAGACAGAAGGAAATTCTCCATTCAGTGCGTGAGCATAACTGCTATTAATACCGAGGGGAGTTAAGTGTGTGCCTCTAGAAAAGAATATACCCAGCRTTTCATATTGAAAGGTATGTTATTTAAGAGCTGCAAGCATGTTTAGCTCCAGCATATTTGGCACACTCAAGGGCCAGCTTCCTTAGGATTTTTGGGGGTGATTAAGCTCTTTTTTTTTCTTGGTAAAATACAAGTTCTGCAGCAGTTGGAACATATAACTGGTCAGAGGGAAGTAGCTGATGGAATATTTTGCTCTCATCTTGTGGAAAGTCTTCTTTCCCAGCTGTTAAGTTCAGCATACTTTCAAGGCGAAGTTAGAAAATTAAGGCATAATCTCTTTTGGTTGATGTATTATTTTGACTAGGCACCTGAAATCTGCAACACTTGAAGAATGCTGGTGGCGGTAAAAAAAAAAAAAAAAAAAAAACAGTGTTTTGTATCTGCAGGAACTATTCTGGTCTCTGATATTTTCAAAACTCACTCCTAAACAAATTTTAAAGCTCTGTAATTGGCCTGGCACCAGGGAATGACCATGAAATTCCCTTAACCCTTTTAGAGCTCTTCACCAGAAGTGCTCACAGGAGTAACAGCAAACGGCTCTTCAAAGGCAATATCCTGCCCATGACAACAGACGTAGATAATGCACTTCATGATGGAACTGCTTGATACAGAGAAAAACATGTTGTAACTGCCTTCCCCGTGAAAGAGGTTTAAAAATGCAGCCTGCCAACTCCACAAAAACCAGAGCTGCTATTTCAGAGAAAGGCCAGTGGATTGTATTTTTCATGTCAGTTTTCACTAACCTCAAACATCACTGTTATGACAGACTGTCATCCAAGCAGCCGGCACTGCAGCACCGTTCACACAAGCGGCAGGAAAGCAAGCATGGAGGGAACTTAACAGTCCAATTAGTAAGCAGGGGGTATAGGTGAATACATGGGAGTGAATTACTTTTGTATAATGTTACTGACTATTGAGAATGAAACATTTAAAAGCAAATAAACAAAGATGCTGCCTGAGTCATTGGTGTTTTCCCGGCTGGCGGTTTCTCTTTGTTCCCTTCCATGGTGCCAGCATCAATGGTTGCAGGGCTKTGCTGGGCCGGATGTCAATCACAACGGCTGACATAAACAAAAATAGCCAAAAAGACATGCCAGCATCTCCCTTTTGTTTTCCCATTAGCTCCATTTTTCTTTTCATAGGCTGACAAAAAATTACTGCCTCCAAGTGAATTCAGTAATGTCACTATATATCTAATATCTAGGAGACCTTTTGTTTTAGCTTTACTGGGCTTAACCACAAAAGACACTTGACATTGACAAAGAATCTGTCAAATATACAATGATCAGTGCACTGAAATCTCTCATGACAGAAGGGCACTATCACCACCACCACCCCCAGCAGCAGCATCCCGTCTGAGCAGAATATGCTGRAGCACATGTAGCAGCTGAACCATTACAGAACAGGCCATAAGCTGAGCTGTGTCTTGTTTAAATTGTCATAGCATATTAGCGTAATTAAAACTGCCAAAAGAGTAGAAAAGATAGATGGAAATGTTACATTACTTGTTTCTAGAGATTAACCTCCAGCCAGAGCTGAAATACAGAGACACATTTTGGATTTCTTAGAGCTCTAATATGGGCGAAAACAAGCCTGAGAGTACATCCCTTGAAGTGTGAGACATGAAGTCATAGTTCCTGTATTTAYACAATACAGCAGAAATAGTGTTTCAGACAGACGTGCTGTTTTCACTGTGATTACARCTCCCATTGTGGCTGTGCTCTGCGAAGCAGCTGTATCATCTCTCAGATACGTCCTTCTGACTCGCCTCTGCCGTTATGCTTGCGAGAGCCTGACGAGCCTTGGACCTGCCTGTGCGTGGAGGTCCCTGCTCCAGGTGTCCTGCTCCAAAGCAGTGACACCTTCCTGATGGGGCCTGCATCGTGGGATGCAGGATGTGGTTCAGGAAGTCCTTCTACATGGGCATCAGCCCCTGGGCATGTCTGGGGTTGGGTAAGAAAAGGAAGGGCTTGCTGGAGCCGGCACGGGCAGAGCAGCCCTGAGGCCGCTCTTGGTTGCAGAGGGAGCATGGACAGTGAGAGGGGAGCTGCTCAGCAGCAGTTCCTGCTTCTCCTTGCTAAGGAAGAGATTTGAACAGTAGCTTCAGTTTAAAGTTTGACCTTTTAACCATGAGGCTGCATGCCTGCTTCTCCATTGAGTTTATATGGATGACAGAGCTTTTTTAAAACTGACCCAGAAAATTGAGTTTGCTGCATCAGACAATGTCTTCTTTCCTGTGGGGAAGATTGTTCAGGCCTAACTTTTTATGGCCCCAGTTTCTACTTTTGTCCTGAGTTTTATCTGGTGGTGAAAAAAACATTAAAGTCTTTTTATGGACTTGTCCAGATGTCAAGACTGGAACCTGATTCACCTAGAAGCTACGGGCAAACACAGCTGGCTCTGGCAATTCAGAAATGTAGAAGAAGAAGGTACAGGCTTTTCTCCAGCTTAACTGGTGCATTCAAGGAGAAGACATGTGAAACAGGTAGGTCTCATATACATTCCTTCCAGAGTAACTGAACTTTAGGACTTGCTCCATTAGCTGATCTGCTTGAAATAGCAAGAAGTTAAATCCTGGTCCCGAATTTTGGATGTCCCCAGCTTTTCTGTCTTTCCCAATTTAAATCTCAGTTGATGACTTCTCCATATAGGGAACTTCTCTTAAGTTTCTCATCAAGGCCTGTAAATGTGCATAACTAGTCGAAAATATGTTATCTACATTTGGTATCCACACCGCCAAGTTACCCCACAGATGTGTCTACCCTCACACATGTCTTTCAGTATAGTGCCAAGAAAAGAATGGAAAATAACTATGAAGTTAAAGTAGATTCTGGTCTCATTAAAGGCAATGAAAACTATGCTTTTACTTCTATTTAGTCATAGTAGCAGGGAAAAAATGGAGTGGAAACAAGCACAACAAAACACCTCTGCCAGCTATCTACAAGCTAACCAAGGCTTCTATTAATGAGGTGATCTGGCATTTTGAGAAAGACAAGTTCTTCCAGAAACGGAAAAAATATGCTGAGTTTTTCCTTCACATCTAAAATCCTACTGAGAGAATAAGAAAGTGTTCCTTCAAAAATGGCAGAGCAGTCAAACCTTTAATGCTGTGTTATTTAATATCTGCAATCACYACTATAGTTCCCTGTTAATGAAATGTTTTTGCATATATATTTGGTAGATTATTAAATACCGATTCCTAAATGTTCATACTTATTGGTTGTATTTTCAGGTTCATCTAAGTGATTATGAAATACTTGAGCAGGTTATTAATTTCAAATTACAATAACAGACTAATTGCAAGGTCAGGTCCTCTAAAAGATGACTCAATAGCATGGACAATTGCATAGTGTACTAAACAGAACAGTACCATTTGCAGAAAAGATAATAGTCCTGATCGTGAGATAGCACCAGATTTTACATTATGATCTCCAGATGTCTTTGAGAACTTAATGCACCCAGCATTGGTTCAAGTTTAATCTGTACAGCAGAAACTTAAATGGCTCCATTTTTTACCTCCCTGGGGATTGTGTGAGGAAACTTGCTCTCCCAAGCAGGTACAGAGGACAGGCTGGGTAGTTTGGCCCTGCCATGCTTTGGTAAGAATTCACCTCATTGCCAGCTGCTCCTGTGGTGCCCAGGGGTATCATGTGTGGACCACTGACTTCCCATCTCATGAGGCCCTTCTCTGCATGCTTGTGTCCTCACAACGTCCTGTCCCCATTGTGAATTATTGAGGCCCCAAAATTTAGTTTTTGCCTGGAGTGCCAAAAAGCCCTGAGGTGCAGCAGTGTCTTGGGACGACCTTGGTGCATTACCAAAGCAGTGTGTGTTGGTTCCCTGGAGACGGTTGGTTCATCTGAGAGTGCTGCCAAACTCAGGTGTCATTTACTTGCTCAGAAATTTCTGGAGTGAGGGTCTCTGCCCCAGGCAGGCAACTCTACAGTTGTTGCCAGGTAGGACTTTAGAGTTTGATACGTTCCCTTGAATGTTCTTTGTAAAACAGGACTGACAGAGTTCCCTGAGCCAGGCCCTAGCTCAAGTGTGCAGTGTTGGGCTGGGGATGAAAACTGTAAGGAGCTAGTGGTCCTTGTGGGGCTGGGCTAGGACACTGGCCACTAGGTGCATGGCTACTCTCCAGAAAAATCTCTTGTGCAGGAGATTCACAGCACTTCCAGGGCAGCCCAACGGCCTATTGCACCCAGAAGGGCACAGCTGCCCAGGAGGTTCAGGAGGGCCACATGTATCTATGAATATGATGTAGGACTCGCTCCACTGCGTTGCTGGTGGAGAGCAGTGTGGAGTGAAGCTGTCATGAGAGACGGTAGCAAGGACTCTGCCAAGGTGTTTGCCTTTCAACTTTAGCACCRTTGGGCCAGGGAGCAAAAAGCAGCTCCTGGAACAGAGCACACATCTAACATGACACTGCAAAGCAAAACAGCTTGTGGCTACTTGTCCTCCGTGGAAGTCTTTACAAAAATTGTCAATTTGGGACTGGATGACTTTCTCTCTGGGGTCAAAAATTCAGTGCAAGTTCACAAAAGAGTGCAAGGAGAGCCTTTCAGCTCTGTGCACAAAACCTCTCAGGGTTTCAGATAGCATTTTAGCATTTCTTGCAGTCTTCAAATGTTGTGCTGTGCAAGGATGTGCTTATACATAATTCTGTAATTGAAATGGCATGTTTACTGTTCTATTTCATGCTTGATTGTGTTTTTTAAACACCTTTACTCATGCTGTTAGAAGTGGGATTATAATTAAAATGTCCTGTTGAACACCTTGTTCAGTTCAATGAAGGCATAATAGAAGTATAAATACTTGTTCTCGTTGACTGTATGATGTCAGCTCAACCAACGCCAGTAAATGTCACAAAACTAATCTCTCTTTGCCAAAGCATCCAGCAAAATGGAAAGGGAAACAGAAGCTGTGGCTGGGAAGAGAGGGAGCCTCTTTCTTTGTGGATAGGAAATATTT